CCCAAGAGGGATCCCGAGCACAGAGCCCCAAGGGGCACCCGCACGGGAAGATCCGTCCACCCACCCCCCAGATCAGACCATAGGGGAGAACTGGGGGAGTCCCCCCAGCGACCACACACACAGCCCCCGGTTAGTGCAAATTAAAGGTGACCCAAAATAGCCCACCTAAAGGTTAAATAAATAAAATGTAAAATTAAAAACAAAAACAGTCAAGACTAAACACCCATTTGTAGGGTCAAATGACATGAAGTTGGTATCTTTTTTAAAGCTGAATAATCGTAAATTTATGCAAAAAACTGCATTAAATAATTTATGTGACAAATCCTATTACTGTAAATGTTGTCAAATTTCAATAAAGACAAGTTGGCCTTTAGAAATAATGGCAGCCTTGAATCCTTGACATTGTGAATTGATTGATTGCCATCCGATTATCAATGATGGCAGATAAGAAATCAAAGAACAGTATCCTTGTTGTTTTCAGGAACATTTTAGTCACCTTTAGTGACTGCGTCAACAAATTGGATCATAAGAAATCTTTGGAAATTCCATTTAGCAACAAGCTTGTATTGAACTAAAATATTTGGAATGTGCTCAAATTGACAGATATGTGTAGTAGGTCAACAACCTACTGCAAAATTGGAGACAATTTCTGCAACTGAGCCAATAAACACCTACTACAGTAAACCACCTTCTTGTTTATGACTTTAAAAACATATTGATAATATTTAAATGTGGGGGCTATGGTATTGTGGTTAGTGCCACATTCTCGTATTCTTGGTGCTGCAGGTTTGAGAGGTGACCCCTGCAAAAGTGTGCAACTGAAAGACAAACACTATTTCTCTGGTTCAAAATGTCTTTTTTCCTAATTCTGACGTATCCCTTGTGTTCTTTCCAAACCTCCACCACTGATCCTGTCTTAGGAAATACTGAGAGCAAGATATCTAAAAGGGTTTAAGTGGCTGTTGAATTGTTTATTGCCTTGACCAGGTGTTTATTGCAGAGCTTTATAATCTCAAACCTTGTTGAAAATAAAATTTCACACTAGAACAACAGCTAGCTGCTGCTGCTGCAGCTTCTTACCCTTACAAAACCTCAGATTTCTAAGTAAATAACAGTGTAATGAGGTAGTGATGACAATGTAAAGATTTATGAAATGGTATTTGTATAATTGCTATGAAAAATTAAAGTCTAAGCTGTTTTAGGACGGCAGCACTCCCCTTTGATTTCAGTCCCAGTTGGACAAGCTGTGAGCTTGTCAGTCCTGTCAGAAATTAACTCTGTTTCTCTAAACAGACATCACATAACGTACTATGTACAACAAGTAAGAATAATAATTCATACCTTTCCTAAGGACCTGAATTTGCAATATAACAACCAATTATTTTAACCCACAATTTAGTTGTTTTTTTTCAAGCAAACATGCTCCTCTTAATTTTTTTCTGTAAATATGGTAATTGTACTGTTAGTACAAGTTCTAAGGGTTGTTAAATCTATGTTTACTTACAGTAATCCATTACTGCCTACGTCTGCGTTAATGAAAAATAGAAAAAAAAAGATTGTGTTGTATATCGGTCATTCATGACTGCCCTAATTTCTAAGGATTGGCCCATATAGATCAATCCTATCTGAGACAATGTAGAAAATGTTCATTCTAAAATAAATGATTGTGGACCTGTGGATACCTGAAGTGGCGGGCGACAAGATACCATCATTTCTGTGGTGAAGAATGATGTTTGAGATGTTTGATGTGTATATTGTAGATAAGCAGTCTGAATAGCTTAATTGTTCTATTTGTCTTAAGAACTATAAATTAACTAGCCTTGTTTGATTGTTTTAAAGTCCTGATAATGATGATTATCTTAAATATTTAAGTCAGAATTTAACCTGATATCTAAGCTAAATGTGAAAATATATTGTCACTGAGCTCAGCAGTGGTTTATCTACTTACTTGAAAAGCAGTAGAACTTATGCTACCTAAATCAGTTTATATAATTTTTTTTCATAGAATTTATTGGCAAATTTCTCCTGGATGGTTAAACTAAATTTTATGCACATCTTTAAATATGAATTCTAATTCAGTTTTATTAATTCTTAAATTATCAATAAGGGATGCAATTTATTGATTAGTGGATTAATCTAAAGTTGATTGATCTTATCGATCGACTAACGATTAATTGATAAGCGGCAATTTTCCTAAAAACCTAACATTTCTCTTGAATCAAGAGTCTTTCTATAGCATGAAGGGCTAATTTTGTACACACTAAATAAAAACGTACAGTATTTTAACAATTCATTGTGCCAGCTGTGTGAGTAAACACTGACTGAATAAACAGAGAAATGTGGATTTCTCTCACATTATTAAACTTGGATATATTTATAAAATATAACAAAACAGGAATCTGTTAAGTTGCTAGTTGAAAAAAATAATAAAATAAGTAAAACACTTAATCCATCCTGAAGATGAAAAACTTATTTAAACACAGGGTAATATTTTAAGATTAACTAAGAAAACTAAGAACATAATAAAATATCTCTGAAAGACATGAGATACAAATGAGTACTGGCAATAGTTTGTTGGTTTGTTTACACTCCATCTGCTTCGATCACTGCGGCTGGACATGTCATGATCTGACATCAGTTACTGTTTATTAGATTGGTTCACTGGCTGGGTTATGTCACACAGATTAGATTAACTTCATATTTTTAGCGACTGTAACATTTTTGTTTTGTTCTTTCGCACGGAGTTAAACTCAACGAGAGGACGCTAACGTTAGCCACAGTTAGCTTACCGTTCTGTCGCCCTACTCTCGTCTTTAGCATCATACTGCTTGATGGTCCAGTATGACCTTCCGTACTTTTCCTTCGAGTTCGGTTTAGTCCATTATTATTGTTGTGTCGCAAATAAACTAAATAAGACTCGCGTGTTTGCGGTCCCACCCACATTATTGAGACGACTTTCTGCTGCTCAGTTCAACTGGGCCGGGGTAGAGCAGCAGTGCGCTCTGCTGGATGAAGTCAAAACTACACCGAAATAAGGTTTAAACAGACGTTTTCAATTAATCGAATGGAAGAAACTTTAATAAAACATTAATCGACAATTAATCGTAAGTCGATTAATTGTTTGCATCCCTATTATCAATCTTTTCTTTATTTTATATAGAATGTGGCAGTAGCTGCGTTTCCATTGACCATGAAAATGCGCAAATTAGAGTTTCAAAAATAAAATTGCTCAATGGAAACATGTCAATTTTGAAAAAAAAGATTTTCGACAAAATTTTTTGCGCTAGTCGGCCGTATCGAAATTGTTGTTTTTTGCAAAACTGCAATGGAGACACTTTTCGCATCACGGGAGTCACATGATCAACAACCGGCTGTTTCTACTGGCGAAAAGACAATGAAGAAGAAGATAACAGGAAGTAAATGTAGTAAAAGAAACTAGTAAACTCACCGACTACAATTTCCCAAAAACACAGCATACGTAGCCGCTCCCATGTATAAGGAGGGGCTTGTCACTGGAAAGCCTCGATAAAAGACGCCGACGTCTCCTCTGATGATGAGCGCCAGTGTCGCGGTAGCAACATGCTATGTGTTTACATCCATTGCCGCCATGTTTGTAATGACTTATCTCAAGAACAAACATATTCACGCATGACTTTAATAGCGTTTCTTACTTAATGGAAACACCACAGTTGTGA